AACCCGCGACCCTCAGATTGCGAGTCGACCGCCCTAACAACCTGGCCATGCCGGGCCCTGGGTACTATTGCTGTTAACATCATTTTGAACTGTAATCTTAATATTATCTCATCAGGAGAAGACATAGGTTAATCCAAAATACATATATTAAGGCAACAATGAAGAACAATCTTTTATAATAAAAGTATAATAAACAATCAAAATGACATTCAGTATACTAAATAATATAATAAATAATACAACCCATACTGTTAATGGAAATAACAATAAATAAATATTATAGTGGATCTTTCTAATGAAACACAATCTGTCAGCTCGAACTATTGTCATAAATTTCTCTGGAAAATGTAACCTTTGTGTAACATGCCCGTTTTTACTCCAGTCTTCCGTAGAATGTTTTTGTCTAAAGAAAATTCGTTAAACTATTCTTACTGTATAATGTCAGGAGTGAATAACATCTGTTAATGTTAAAACTGTTTCAAATTAGTTGCATAATACAACCAAAAACTGGTGTTTATGAAGATACAAAATAAAATACTTGAACTGTACATGAAAATATAACAATGGTACAAGTAATACAAAGAAAACAACATTTTAAATATAATATGGGTTGTGTTTACCACTATTACTTTAATTACACATTGAAATGAACACACAGGAAGTAATCAATGCCATGCAACAATCTGTGGAAACCAAAAAGGAAACAAAATAAGCCTCTAGAAAGTTAAATACAAATAGTTGGAAAGAAAAGCTACAATAGACATTAATATCGCAAAGAAAGTAATTATAACTAATTAATGTGACTAATGTCATACTATATGTGGAACATTTATATAGCTATTGTTACTTACATGCACATTAATAACTTCAACTAATGGCAGGTAAAACTATTGTTCATAAATTTAATAAAGTGGTTCACCATCACCCTAAATAATATTCCAAAGTTTTAAATATAATAATGCTATGTAAAATTTCTAAGCCCACAATATGTACCAAGAATATTATTGAATTTTTCAGAGTTGAATGGATTTTGTGTTTAAATTACACAATGAGAAGCTGTAATTATAAAAATGAGAGTGCATTCATGAGTTCTATCCACAAAGTCTCCACTTTATTCTCCACAATACAAACTTGTATTACTTCTCATTGTTGACCCACTGATGCACTTTAAGTATTTTTCAGTAAAATATTCTTCGTTACATTAAGTTCTGTTCATCTACATTATGAATAACTGTAGTATTTCTTAAGAAATTAAACTTACCATACATAGTACAACTTTACAATTTCTAATCTACCTGTATCTACTGGTTTAATGTCAAGTCCTTGTATTATATAACACAGTTTAGGATATGTTTCCAGTGTGTATCATTTGATGAGCTCGAAAGTGTCTTCCCCTTTACATTCTTTGCCCTGATTAACATATTCGTTTCTATACAGCATGTATCTTCTGATGCATTTTAAGATTATAATTTTTTGTAAATTTTCTTCCACATACTGTACAACTGTAAGGTTTCTCTCCAGTGTGTACTTTCTCGTGTTTTTTCATTAGACTATTGCTTCGAAATCTTTTGTTACACACTTCACAACTGAATGGTTTTTCTCCAGTGTGTATCCTCATATGGTCTTGTAGGTAGCTATTTGTTACAAACTTCCTTTCACACACTACACAATTGTATGGTTTTTCACCAGTGTGTATCTTCTCATGTCTGTTAAGATGACTTTTACTTCTAAATTTTTTATCACACGCTATGCAAGTGTGCGGTTTCTCTCCAGTGTGTGTCCTCAGATGTGTTTTTAAATTACTATTTGTGACAAATTGTTTGTCACACATTACACACTTGTACGGTTTCTCCCCGGTGTGTATTCTCAGGTGTATTTTTAAATCCCTATTTGTTACAAATTGTTTGCCACACACTACACAACTATGAGGTTTCTCCCCAGCATGTACTCTCTCATGTTGTTTTAACAGACCATTGTTTCCAAATTGCTTGTTACACACTAAACAACTATATGGTTTCTCTCCAGTGTGTGTTCTCACATGGCTGTTAAGATAACTTTTACTCATAAATTTTTTATCACAACTTATACAAGTGTATGATTTCTTTCCAGTGTGTGTTCTCAGATGTATTTTTAAATTACTATTTGTGACAAATTGTTTATCACACACTACACACCTGTACGGTTTCTCCCCAGTGTGTGTCCTCAGATGTATTTTTAAATAACTATTTGCTACAAACTGTTTTCCACACACTACACATCTGTGTTGTTTCTTCATAGAGTGTGAACTCACATTTAATTCTAGATGATGATTTCTTTCCAATTCTTCGCCAGTTGATGATTTAACTTCACTATGGGAAACATTATGTCTTTTTTGGTTATTTACCCTCGATAATGTTTTATCAAACATATTAACCTCACTATACACTATACTCGGATTCAGGGATTTGTAATTTTTTGACTTTGAAAAGAGAGATTTTTGTGTTATAGTATCATGTCCGGGAAGCTGTTTTCCAGAATAATCATCCCTATATGTCTTTGGATCTGTAATCAAAAGATGCATTAAAGAAATATAGCAATTAATAACAATACACAAATGTTGATTTAGTAACTTAATAAATGGCATCATGACATTGCGTTTAGTTTAACATATAGTTAAATTGTCAAAAAACATTATAAGCAACTTTAAAATGATAAACTTGTATAAACACACCTGAAATCAAAACATATTTTGGTGGACATTATATTTTAAAGAAGTGTCTGTAGATCATAAGAAAAGTTGGATGAGACATTACAAGTTATGTAACAAACAATGACTACAATATTTGTACACATCTTGACAACTTGGATGACACAGAAATGAAGCAAAATTTCATTCCCAAATGAATGTACCAAAAATTATTTCTATTCTATATTTTGGAGGTTTTGTTTAACTACTTAACTAACAACTGCTTACACAAAAAATGAATAAAACCTAATTATTTTACTGAAATAAACACGTTTAGTAATTTAATCCTTACAATATTTAACTCCATGACGTTTTGGTTAAAATCTGTCAAAATGAATTCAATTTGATTTAACATATTGGCCAGGATATATTCTTTCTCATGTGCTCAACAGTAAATTATACTGGTGATACATTTGGATAATATAAAGTCAAAACAAATGAATTTTTAATATATTGTTTACTAATGTAAAAAATGGCAACCTTGTAATTTGAATGTCTACATCCATACGTGAAGAACCCACATATTAATCATTCATTATTGTTATACCAAGACCTTGTTCAAAACCATTAATAATGTTGCGTCATCAAGGTCACGTGACTGGTGTGGCACCACCTATTTTCTAGAACTATCCTGTACCTTCGCGAATGCTCTAGTATTTACTAGATATAGGGTAGTCTGGTATATAAAAGAGGGTGACAACATGACGGGACAATAATGTAATGTGTGTGTGTAGATAGTGAGTAATTGAACTGCAGTCAGAAGTGTTGTTGCCGTTCGTTGATATAGCGTCTGTTTTAGCGTGATTGTTGAAAATAAGTGTATCGTAAAGTTGTATTCGGAAAGAATAAACCAGTTTTATTAAGTAAGGACTTGTGTCGCTAAAGTTTCGTCGGAATGAAGTTACGGAAAGTTAATTAACAAACGGAGACATAACAATAACATAGTTAGCTCACCAGAAAGAAAAGTAAATAATTAATTAATTAAAATTACATTTGATTTCTAACTAGTAGAATTATTGCCTTAGTTTATGATTTAAAATGAAATTAAATAAAACTTAACTGATATAAGTTACTGAACTGGTTTTTAGTGAAATATTTTTAATCTTTTAATACTTAGATTTATTTTTTTAATTTAAATTCACATCTGAATAAAAAAGTAAATACTGAGTGTAAAGGTTTGGATTGTTTCAGTTGATGAACTTTTTCGATGATCAGTGTAAAACAAGAATTAAATTACAAAATAAGTAACATTCTATCATCTTTGAATTTTTCAGTCATACTTAACAAATTAACTGCGGATGACGGATATTTCCGTCACTGAAGTTCTATGGCTTAGCTGCGACTGACGGATATTTCCGTCAGTCGCACAAATATATCTATAACTCTATGCGAGTGATAGTAATTACCATTGTATTGTGACTGATGGCAACTCAGTTTTATCTGTGAGTCAGAAAACGGCAACCGAGCTGCTCCTGCAGCAGTTAATGGGTTAAGCAAAAAAGTAAACAAAGGCAAAAGTTAAGAGTAAAAAACTAAAAAACAAGGTTAAAAAGTTCATTTATGTAATAAGAAATATCCTCAATATTATTATGAACAATAAAAAACAGGTGTACGTGTTTAAAATAATACATTTCATACCCTCTTTCACGTGCGAATCTACCCTCACCAACAGTACATACAATGAGTCATAATACTTGATGATTTAATTATTTCTAAAGTACATAATGAATATAAATATACTTAATTTACTGTCATTTTAAATTATAAAACAGAAAAGGCTTAAATCTTTGATGTAGGTCTACATTATTCATCATGTTCTGTATGATATGATAGATGACTGCTACAACTACACCCGTTCTTTAAAGAACACTAATACCAGAGCAAACCTTAGGGTGAAGCAACCTAGGCAATCACTTTGGGCCCTGTGACTTGAGGGCTCAAAGTAACCTAGGCAATCACTTCGTGCCCTGTGACTTGAGGGCTCCACACTTGAAGTTAAGAGAATATAAGTTGGTATGATAAAGTTGATAAATACACAATAGTGTAAAGGTGGGCTGATGCCATTTTGTCAACCAGCAGTCCTTGAGTTGGTATTGTAACGTCATGCTATCCAGTGAGTGTGTGAGCTGATATTGTGACACCTGGTGTTTTCAAACAGTTTTTAGTTGAATTTTGAAGAGGGCCCTGTGAGCTATAGCCAGAATTATAAATGCTAACTCTAAAGAATGTAAACTCATAATGCGCTAGCCTAAATAATTAGAAGGTGAAAAACAAGTATAATTTGCCTTTTGCTGTCTATTCAGCCCAACCCAAGAATATAAAATGCATGGTGTTCCCCACTTACTCTGCACAACCAGTTTGGGGCTCCATTTGTAATTGCTTGTTTTATGTTTATCATTTACCTGTTAACCTTACCCGATATTGTTTTCTCTTCGTTTTCCTAATTTTTGTGGAATTTTAGTATTAAGGTTGTATCCCAGTATGCCAAGGTTTTGTACTGGGACAGAATTTCTTATTTTGTTATTGTTGCAATTGATTTTTTTTATTTTATTCTCACCTTTACTTTAATAATGGGTATTGCTTACACAGTAAATTTACTTACAGTTGTATTTTTAAATTCATTTCTTGTAAGGGTGGCATTCCAATATGGAACTCTCTTCTTTAGGCTTTTTCATATAACACATTCTTTGTTAGATGGTTCTTGTTTTTAATGAAATTAACCTTATACGCACAGGTGAGTCAAAGTGTGCATGTCATGACCTTTTTACAGGATAATATTCCAAACTTAATTAAACAAATTTATTATCAATGTATGTAAGTAAACTTGACATCAAAATGTAGTTCCAAATTCTAATATCATAAATTTTCAGTTTCTTTGCTTCAAAATAAAATACTTAATTAGAATATCAGTCTTCACTTCTCTGTATCAAGCGACACTTTTTAACTTCAATTTAGATTTTCTTTCCATCATCTTCCGGATTTAGAACAGATTACACTTTTATGGAGTAGATATTGCTAAGCCATCTAATATAAATGTATAGTCTTAAAACTTCTTGCATTACTGAGATATATAAAAAAAAGAAAGTCAAACCTATATAAACCCCTCCTATCACATCCTGTCTTTCTCAAAATATCAATAATCCTCTCTGACATTTGTTATTAGATTACTTATAGCTGATAGAAAGAGAATATTCTATTTTACTGAATTCTTTAGGAAGCTAGTTAATTCAAACAACAGGTTTTGAAATATTTGGCTTCAGTTTCATTTTCTAGTATAGTGATGTTTGGCCCAATCATCAAATATAACTTTTTTAACCCACTTATAGCTTGGTTAGAAAGTCAATTAAATTATAGATTATATTTTTTGCACATTATAATATTTTGTAATGTAAATTGCATATTTTAAATGAAAAATAATTATACTGTGGTGTATCAACATCTTTACAAACATGTAGGTTTACAGCACTCTGTCTTTTAGATGGTAATTGATGGAGTCCACATTTAGGTACTGATTTTCTTGTTTTTTAATGTTTTTTTTATTTTTATCTGCAAAAATTTGGGCAAGATTTTAGTAAATATTACACATTTGTTGTACACAAATAAATAAGAATTTTTGATAAAGCATTTCTACTAGAGACTTGTATATGAGATTACAAAACCTTTACTGAGCCAATCTGAGTGAGAAGTGATTTACATGCTAAGAATTAAAATAATTCTCTTCATCTCACAGTTTTCATATTTTATTTAAATAAATTATAATCTTCAAATTAATTTCAAGTTTGCTTTTTGGTAAAAATTTGCACTTGAACTGCTATTTTCTCTAACAATGTACAGTGAAATGAAAAGTTGAAAAATATAAAAAATCAAAAACACCTTTTTACCCCCCTTTTTTTCTAGCATGACTGCAGATTGTAACAGGCTATAACAATTATTTACCTTAACAGCCTCAACTTCTAACCTATTCATGTCTTCTTTAGTTTTATTGTAAAGGTTAAAAGTGAGTGATCAGGAGAAATCTTTTATTTCATTTCTTCCTCATTTAAGTTTTGTTATCTAGCCTAATAATTTCCCAATTTTTATATTTTAGTTACCTTTCAGAAAATTATGCAACATTAAATAAAAAATACACAAAAATAAGAAATCACAATCACTTTGGCTTCAAGGACACTTGCACTCAGGTGCCAAGCTTTGTAACCCTAAAGAGGTGTGGGCCTAATTATTAACTAAAAGAGGTAACAGAGTGTAATTTACCTGCTAGGGATTCCATCTGGCTTGAAGAATCACAACTATAAGTAAAATGAGGTAAATAAAGTTTTAAGGACTATACAGGATTTCATCCACATTTTTGTCAGCAGAAAATCCTCTAACAAGTGTTGCAATCAGAAAGCCAAAGACCTTTCCAAATGGCAAACTTGGTGACCTGTAACCAAAAATTCACCTTTAACGTGTAGGGGAACACTTGTAAACAAGACAAATTAGCTACACAAGCCAATTTTCTGAAGTATTTAGAGAAAAACCCCAAAAGCATGTTCATTGTAAGGTTGTTTGTTCAAAGAAGGTTGTTTGAATAATGGGGACAAAATGTATTGATAACTTCTATAGCATCTGAAATTGGTGGATAGGGCAGCTCCGTAACCAGCTTTGGAAGAAGCTGATGAGCTACATTTAAGAAACAAATTTCCTGGAACCAGTATAACTCAGTGAAAGTACTTGTAACCAGGAACATCACCAAACAAATCTAAAATGACTCTAGATAAACCCTAAAGATAATTGTGTGTTTTAAAATTTAGTCTATAAAAACTGTACATTATTAGCATCACTTAACACTAGTTTGTCTACCTCCATCTGATTAATAGATAAGTTCTTGAAGTTTACACTCACCTGTCAAACTTCCCATCACAGAGGTGATTTGTTGAAACTCCTCTTTTGATTCTTTTTCAGTTTTCAAACTCATAACATTATGTTCTAAACAATCAACAGTATCTTCATCACTCTCACTGAACTTGGAAATAATGCCATCATTTGTTGAATCAACACTTTGTTCAGTTTTGATGTTGGCAAATGTGTCCTAAAAGGAAAAAAAAATTAATAATAACCAATTCTGTCAATAAAGAACACAAGTATTAGTTTTAAAATTTCTTTTTCAACTTTAATTTCAATGTATATAGATATGATTTTGCAAAGTTAACATTAGGGTAGAGAGAAAATAAGATATTAAATACAAAGATTGGTTATTCAAATAAAAAGAAGTATTTTTTATTCTAAGCATGAACATCACAAAAAAATCTTTACTAAAGATACTTTAGGAAAAAAATCTGTTTTTTTTTTCAATACAACAGACTTATAATGTTTACTAAAAGTTTTCCAACGTTTGTGAAGATACAGTTAGTAAACTCAGTTATATTATGTGTAATTAGCCATTTGTACGAAATAATTAACACGAAAGGTTAAACCTTTCAGGCAGTATTACTTACCATACCAAGAGCTTGACCTTTTATATTCATAAATATAACCAAATATGCTGAGGTACCTGTCCTTTCTCCAGGTTATAAACTTAAAAAAGTGTAGGAGTGAATGCTATTAGAAATAACACAAAAATCCTAACTTTCACACCATTTATTTATAACATTTTGTTTGTTTGAAGTTACACAATAGGATATCTGTGCTCTTCCCACCACGGGTGTTGAAACCCGGTTTCTATCATTGTAAGTCTGCAAACATACTGCTGTGCCACTGGAGGCTATATCTCACATATTATCACAGCATTCATTATTATCTCACCAAAAGTCTTGTATAACATTTATAAACTCAATATGTATATACTTAAAACATAGCAATGGTCAGGGTGACTTTCTAGGAAGAGGTAGTGGTCAGAGAGTGGCAGCAGGGGTGCTTTCTGTTACACATTTTCAACACCTCACTCTCAATGTCCTTCCACAGCATTTCACATTTAATTAATTGACAGTCACTGGCCGTACAAGTGTCTTACTGGCTGAAGTTGAAAGGTCACGGGTCAAAGTAGGAAGTGGGTATAACTCAAGAAATGGCTCTTCATATGAGCCTTATGGTGGCTGTTGAAATAGAAACTTCAGTTGAGTTTATGTAATAATGCGATAGTGGTGGCCATTTTTTCATTGCATTCCTACATAGAGAGTGCTAATGTACTCTCTGCGATATACAATATATTTGTGTACCCTCCCCCCACACTGTGTGTGTGTGTATGTTGTTTTATAAAAAATGTAAAAAAAATAATAATTTTGGGGTGTAAGGCCGTGGTGCCATCTATAAATGTGGTTAACTTACGACAAAGATAACAAATGCTCAATAACATCAATATTGTGGGTGGAGGGGGTTGTGAACCCCCCATTAACATGCCCCTTGTTCCAAACTATGATTCTACAAAGTTTGGTTGAGACTGATCTAGCAACAATTTTTATATTTCATATATCTAAATATATATATATATATATATAGA